TAATGTTACATGAAAAAATGACTGTGCTTCATAAAAAGTACTTTGTGAAGACTGGTGATTCAAGTACAAAATTTCTGTTCTACTCAAATAAGCTTTCCAACAAAATTAATCGGATGCATTTTTAATTACATACATAATAATTATAGTGTTGCACATAATTAAGCATAAGCAGTAAGCAGTTCAAATAGATAACATTACAATAATTATTATTGCTTTCACAGAGTCAAGCCAAATTTTATTTTTTCATGTTATTAGTTTGTAGTTCTTTATGATCTGTTAAAAGAATCAATATTTACCATTTCACCTGGTATAATATACTGTTTGTCTTCCTCTCACCTCTCTGCACATACCCAAACTCTCATATAGGATAAATTCAATAAACCAAAAGCTAAGATGCTCTTGTCTCCTTTGCTATTTTCAACCACCAGACTCCCACCTAATATTCAAAACCATGTGTGAAGTCTGGCCTTTCATACCCATTTTCCCTTATTTCTCTTTAGTTCTCCTCATAACTTCCCTCATGTTGGTAACTTTTTTCAGCACACGTTGGATTGGATTGGAGAGGGCAGAAACATGAAGCCAATAATCTATGGATTTCTTACTCCAGATTGATACATGGGAAAAAACAAGTTGGGCTACAGTGATTAAGTGGATAAACTAATACATTTAAAACACTGAGTTAATATCCCTGCCTTAAGGTACAGACTAAATAAATTAGGCAATACCCCTAACTTTGTTCCCTTAATTCTATAACACATTTAAGTCATTTTAATGAGAAACCCTTACTATTTCTTCTTTCTGTCCCAACCCCTTACTACATTTACCTTTGTCCTCTCTGGTCTTAATTGATCCTATTAGGAAACCCAGTGCATTTTGGGGGCTTCATCCAAGTATATTTCCCTGAGACTTAAGCATTTATGGCTTTGCTTACTTCAATTACCTGTTCTTCTACCTTAGGTTTTGTGAAGCTTTCTAGGTTCTGCATCTATACATTTGATTATTTCTCAGTTTTCTTTGTTGACACCTTTCTTGTGCTTACATTTCACGTACAAAAGTTCTCTGGGTTTTAGTTTATCACAACCGTTCTTCATAAAAGATGATTCTTTCCTCTTTAAGCTGCAATTACAATTTTACATTTATGACGTTCAAATCTACATCTCCAGTCCAGACTCTTTCTTAGCTAGACTCATATTCTCAACTTTCTCTTATCTGTTATCTCATCAACATTGTCAGCTAAACAGACAAAGGCAAATTTACTATCCCCCCACAAGCTTCCAGTCCTCCTGTTATTCTTAATTCATTTTACTGGTACTGTTAACTCAGTGTCATTATACTTTCACAAGTTTTTGGCCATCCATTCTTCTAAGTAATAATTGTCCTGATGTATGCCTTTGCCATTTCTCTCCCGGTGATGGGTTCTCTTCCCTCACTATTTTTCACTCATCTTTCTCCCTGCTATTAGGGGCTTTTAAACAATATAAATCAGAGTATATCACTTCTGTCCTCAATAACTAGCAATGACTCCTACTATCGGGATAGAATATTCTCCTTAATCTAAGAATTAATTAATTTGACCTGGTCTGAAACAATAATTTCAGTCTCATTTCTTACCACATCAGACACGATGGTTTAGCAACACAAGTTTATTTATCATTGTCTATACTTCTTGTATGTTTTCAAGTTTTTTATTTATTTTTTACTATATTGTCTGTTTTTTTCTGGGATGCCTCTCACAAATTTTGTGTGCTGAGCTCTTCTTGTCTTTTAAATTTCAGCTTAAGTTAAATTTCTTTCACAGCTATTTTCTGGATACTTACCACCATTTCTAATCTGTGGATGAATCCTCCTTTCAGCTCATGCCATTTGTATTTTTATTTAGCATGTATGTTTTTTTCTATTAATTATAGGTGTCATGTAACATTATTGTTCTTTGCACTTAACCCCACCCACTTCCACTCTCATGTTGTAATCATTTAATTTGTCTAAAGCAATTTTGCATCTGTGGAACCTAGCAGAGTGCTTAGCATTGACTAGGTGCTCAATCAATGTTGAACTAAAGTGGCATATATATGCAAGGCAATTTTGGATTGATTCCACCATAATCAAACAAGATTTGACAACTCAATTACCCACCTTGAAGATATAAATGAACTATCTTTAAGACCTAGTTTAATTTAATGAAGTAGATATGACACCTGAGAGTGTTAATCCTCATCCTAGTGTTAAGCTATTTTATTGATTTATTGATTCATTCATCCTATAAAAATTATGAAACACTTCCTATATCTATAACACATTACTAAGTCCAGACAAACCAAAAAAAAAAAAAAAGTATACACCACGGTTTTAACCATCATCAGATTATACTGTAAGAATTAGAGGCATTATTTAGAACATATATAGACTTTGTTGTCAGAACGACCTTGTTTGGAATGCTAGCTCTGCCATATATTTGCTGTATAATCTTGGGTAGCTATCAACCATCAGTTTCCTCATCTATAAAATGTGACTTACAACATTTATGTGTTTGACTGTTGTGTGTTTCAAAAATATTGCATATTTGAAGAACTTGACATATATTAGATTTATAATTTATACCTGTAGATATCAGTGGGGAAAAACCAAAATGTAAGTATCATAATACAGTGCAGAAAGGCCATAATTTCCAAAAAAACAATTATTTCATGTTTCATATTTTTATTAATAATGTATTATTACAGATCAGATTACTAGTCTTTGTATATTATGTAACTATTAACATTTATAGTGGCATGTAATTAGCACTGACCCCAAATCTAAACCTAGAAATCATATATAGTTGATTTGTATATTGATTAAATTCATATAAGGAAACAAATTGTTCCAGGTTTTCAAGGAAAAACAACTTTAATATAAAGCATTGATGTTAATCAGAGCAGTGGAAATTAGAAGTTGGAGAGGACACAAGTAGTTTTCAAGTTATAATACAGCTGTTGTGCTCTAGTCAGAGGGGAAACCATGATACTTGATGTGTTTGCCAGTAGCATATTGATAGAGAAAAGAAAAAGACTATAGTTTCTGCCCTGGGGCACGCCAGTCTCAGGAGGTTTACAAGAAGAGGAGGGACCCTGCAAAGGAGGCTATGAAATAGAGGAAAACCAAGAGTATGGAGCCCTGGAAGTAAAGCGATGGATCTATATCAGGAAGAAGCAGCTACCTGTCTATTGCTGCTGATAGGTGGTTAAAATGAGGACCCAGAAAAGGCCATTGTCCTTATCATGAATGATATTTACATGAGTAATTTCTGTGGAGTGAGGTATATGAACGCTTGATAGAATGGGTTTAAGATAGGAACAAAGGGGAAGAAAGAGACAGTGGGTCTAAGTAGTTTCTTTTTGTTTTGTTATAAAGAGGAATTGGACAATGGCGACTAGTAGGGGCAGTGAAGTCAAAGTCCTTTGCTTTTAAGTTGGAGAAAATAAGGCCATGTTTGGTGCTGAGAATGAGCTAGTAAAAGGGTCAGAAAACTTTCTGTAAATGGCTATAGTAAATATTTTAGGCTTTGTGAGCCATAGGTTTTTGAGGCAACAAATCTGCTATGCCTTTAAAGTGTAAAACATTCATAGGTGATATTTAAACAAAAGGGGTGACTGTGTTCCATTAAAAATTAATTGACAAAAAAAAGACAGGAGCTTTGGTTTGTTCTAATGTAAATTTTTTAAAAAGAAATGATTATCGGAGGAAGTAGAGAATAGCTGAAGTGATATCCTTGACTAGGTGAGAGAGGGTGGGGTGTGTGCACAGGAGTTGGGGTTGGGAATTTTGATTATGAGTTCAACCAAGTTTGAAAAGCAAGGAGGACAAGAATATGCAGAGAGGATTAATTGTGAAACATAAAATCTCTTTTGATTGCTTCAGTTTTCTCAGAAAAGTAGGAAGCAAGATTATTGTATGTGAGTGAACATTAGGAAGTAGATTTGAAGTTTTAAAAAGAGATTATGTATGAAATTGTTACATGAAAGAGTTGAAAAGTAATTGGGCTAAGAAAGTACTATAGATAATTACTGTTTCAGTAAAATATCAAATTTTCAGTTTGGAATGTTCTAGCTCTTTTTTTCCACATTGGGCTTTTCATTAATTTTATTATAATTTATAATATTCTGAAGCACCAACTAAATTGTGACAAATATCAAGATATTTTGAATCATTGTATTTTAATCTTCAAAATCCTTAATTTTCTACCTGGGTTGTGGTTGCGGGTAGGGGAAAGTTTCACAATCCACTAATACTCCTATTTTCAGCAAAATCAGTCATGCATTCTATCTATATATTTTTAAAATTTAACAAATCTTGTTCCTTTTAGAAATTATTTCTGCATTGAATATGCTTTGGTCTCTTCATCTCTGTTTCATGCATTTATCATACTGAATCCTAATTTGCTCTGAAGGCTTGCTAACTTTTGCTTGAATGATGTGTTTGCTCTGAAAGAGTTCAAATATAATGAAATATATTATGTCCACTATTTGTCTAATATTTTGCCACCAATGAAAGATAAATTATTGAAATCAAATGTGTTTACATTGATTGCTATGAAGATTGCACATGCATTGATAAATTAAAACAAGCCCTCAAAAGATAGAAAATCAATTGATGTATCAGGTAGAAAGGCATAAATGGTGAAATCAACCACTGAATTGACATTTTTCCTCCTGAAATAATTTAGTTTACCAGGATTTGAAAGGATTTGTGACTTTGAACATACATTATAAGCTTAAAAGTGAAAGCTCGAATAGATTGACCCGAAATTTTGTTAATGATATTTCAAACAAATGTAAACCAATATATTTTAAAGGGAATAGATGCTGTTCTCTGGACCATTCACAGAAATTTGGAGTATACCAATCAAAACTATATAATTACTATTATACACTGAGTACATATTAACGATATTTAAATGTAAACACTGTATATGTGTGCACAGTTATGTAGAGGTAATATTTTTGATTTTCTCTGCAGAACTGTTACCCAATTGCCAGCAGTTGAATTGTCAGTATAAATGTGCAATGCTGAGAAATAGTACAAGATGTTACTGTGAGGATGGATTTGAAGTAAAAGAAGATGGGAGAAGCTGTAAAGGTAAGTGTGACATGTGACTCTATTCAATTTTTTTCTTTTGCCGAGGCTTAGTGAACAGAAATTTAATGGAGTATTTTTGAGTACCTACCATGTGCTCTACACAGTGTTTATATTAATTTGTTTCCTGAGATTTAAAAGTTGCCACTCCCCCAAACCATAAGCATAAATGTTACAGGTGTGCATTTATACCAATCAGTTTTCAATTCATGTTGTAATAATGTCAAACATGAGAAAAGTCAACAATGGGAAATCATTTGGTTAACCATTGAAACATTGGATTTAATTATTTTAACTTCCTAAATATTTTGTGCCTATGTCCCGTTAACATATATGATGATCATATAATATTCTTTGCGATTTTTATGTCGGTAATTCTGACAATTGGCATTTTATCAATAGCATAATAATGGACATAAAAAATATTTGTCCTCTTTTAAAATGTCTTCATTCTTGCCTTTTTGAATACTCTAAAGCAAATATTTACTTTCTGAAATGACTTCTCAGTGCAATACTGAACAATTCTAGGTTACTTCATAATATATATGAAATACATATATATGTATACACACATATGTATATATAGTACTTAGATTTAAATATATGTGTGTGTGCAGATATCCGCAATATAAACTACACATTATTTTATTGCACATGGTATTTAGAATATATAGAGACAAAACATAAAATATAGACTTTATATATAAAATTGAGGAATATAGGCATTTCCGGAGCCACTAATAAATGGAATATTTTCAAAAGAAATTTATGCTTTGATGATTACTTTAAAGCTTTGCTCTAGTATCATCACTTTTACCTTACAACAGAATGTTAAAATTGCAAGAGTCCTCAGAGAGAATATGGTTCAAAATCGTAATGACAAAAGTGACAAAATTGATACCCTGACACTTACTTAAGACCACACATCTCAGTAATAGAATTGGACTAAAACTCATGTCTTCACAGCCCATTGATTCTTAACCAGAAGAGGTTCTTTGCTTTTTAAGGAACAGTTGGGCTTTGAATTTTTAGTTCGTTATTTGTTTTCTACATCATACAAATGTTATAGAAACATTTATTATTAAATGTCTATCAGTCACAGAGGCTACATAATCTGACTATAGGGGACCAAACTGTTATATGTATTTAGCTCACTCATTTTAAGCCAACACATAAAAATCAGACGATTGCACACAAAAGGTCAAACTTAAAAAAAAAAAAATCAGAGGATCTGGCAACCCTAGACTCCTTATAATAACAAAAGTCAGCCAAATGTCAATAGTACCTCTGGACCTGTCTGCAATCTTTAGTTCAAAATAGTACTTGTCATTCACACAAGGTAGACTAATACTTCTATACCTCACCCTTCTTACCCTTTTGCTATACCTGACTACTGTAGGAGTCAGCATTTTCATCACATATTGCATGGATCTTTTCTCCTGAATCTCTTAATTAAATTCATAAAGATAACTGTAATCAATTTTCTTTGTTGAATATAAGTAAGGGATTACAGAGCAATCATTATGGAAAGTCACCAGTGGAAGAGGAGCTCTTTTTATTTTCCCTGCATTCTTGAATGGCCAGGTCTGAACATCATTTACTTTTTCTTGAAGCCACATTTTCAGGATATTTTCTGTCTTTCAAGGGACAAAGAAGGCAGCATTACAAGTAGTGGCATGCCTATTCCTTTGCTGCCAATTTTGTGGCATTATACGTGATATCAATGTCACAGCAGAGCATTCTGGCTAAGGAGAAAGAACAAAAGAAATCATTAATTATATTGCTCTCCTGGATAGCATAATCATATCAGAAAACTGACAAAAAGAACCAATAATATTAAAGTTGAAACACCTGTGAAAATAGATAAGAATCATTTCTTCCATTTTGTATTGGACTTTACCAAATATAAGATTTAATTTCTTTCATTATCACTGTAGTCTTAGCTTCAGAAAATATTCTTTCTATTCCTAAAGCAATTTACTTCAAACAAGCCATCCATGAATGCAGGCTGTTATATAAAGCTAAAGAAATCTGAAACAATTGCAAATTACTGCTATAGAAATTCATAGTTTTCCAATTAAAATGGCCCCTTTGCTTCTCAGTAATCCTTTTGCTTTTCCTTAGTTAATATCTTTCTTAGCTTAGGGTATGAGTGTCAGAGGTTGGGGCTGAGAGTTCCTGTTTTATCTTTCTGGTGACTATCCCAGATCCTGACATTATCTAGTAGTCCCACCCTGAGTCATCTCATTCAGGTAGACTCTGGTGTATTCCAAAGGGCCTCATTATAAATAAAAAAGGACCCTCCTATTGTTCAAAAAACTACAAGGGTTTAAAAACTCAGTGCCAGAAACTGAGGACTCTTCCGTTTTCTATCTCTTTCCTCATACCCTTCCTCAAAAATTATTTCCAAGAGTCCCAAATCCTCTTCTAATTTAGTATTCCCAAGCTCCAACGACCTAACTCCATTAATAGGCCAAAGTTTGTATTTTCTATTCCATTTAGGGACTCAGTAAAACAAAATCACATTACAGTTAAGAAGATCTACCTACCATTTATAGCAAAGTCATCTTTTCACTACACCAAGGTCACTACACCAGTGTTCTAATGGCCAAAACCAAATAATTAAAATATTTATTTTAATGGACTTCTTCATTGAATATAACATTTTTGATCACTTTAATATTCTTGAAATCCTCACCTTTATGAACTCCTTAGACTACTTATGAAGTCTCCTTCAAAGGAGACTCATGGACTTATCTTTCTTGCCTGTCGTTTTCATACTGGTGTCCTGCAGTATTTTGCTCTAGCAAAGCTTTTCTCACTTCCCCTTCCCCTCTGTGTGGCATCTAACCTTCTGCTATTTCCTTTCATTTTGTTTTGTTTTTAACCTATTAGCTACATGCTATTGACTCCTACATACTCCAAGATATATCTCACCCATCTTAACAGTCTCATATCTCCAACTACTTGTTAATCATTTACTCAAAAATTCCCTACAGATTCCTCAAATTTAACACATTCAAACCAAATTCATTTTGTCCTACCATGATATATACATTCAAATCTACACTTCATATAAAATTATACCACCATTCACTTCTATCACATCCAGTCTTCACATGTTGTCTATTATATTTCTTAAACAATGAGTCCATTCCCTTTCCTCTATTTCCACTACCACTGACTTAGTTTAAAATATGACTTCAAAATACAATTTAAGATCTCTTTTCTACATTCATCAATTCATTGTTCATGTTTGTTTAGTTTTAAAATGCAAAGTTGATCATGTAACTCATCTAATTAATGCTTCCAGATACACATACACTATACAGCCCTTTAGTTTAGCATACAAACAGCTTCATTAGTTGGCCCTAAAACTGCTTTCCCTGTATTAACTCTTAACACTTATACACCCTGACTCCACCTGATTCTTTACACATCTTTGAAATCCCCACTATGCCATACCAATGCCTTTTCACATGCTATTTTTTTAAACTGTAATGCCCTGTTTCATCTTGTCCCTTTTTATTCAGTGTGAGGAAATCCAAGTTATCTTTTAAATTCTGCTCAAAATGCAGCCCTCACCTAACAATCTAACTCCAATCAGTTTCACTTATTTTTCTGTTTCTATCATAACTAGAATATGCATCTATTATAAGGAAATCTATAGAATCAAAATTATATTTCACTAAGCTTGTTTCACTTAAGGATAGGAACCATATTTTATCAATTTTTCTTTCTTTGGGGATTCATATAGTGCTTGGTACAGACAGCAGATTGAATGTACATATTAGTCTAAATTATTAGCTGACAGAATTTTTTTGTTTGTTTTCCTGGTTGATTAAGAATCATTAAGTACCTGCTGTTTATAGAGATTGAATAAGTTGCTGCAGGAAAGAATTATAGAGAGAGCAAGGAAAGAAGGAGTGTAAGGAGGACCATAGATATTAAAATAAATTTTAATTAGGATGAGATTTCTCTTTTTGACAATTGCTTAATAGTTTCTTCTTTTTGATTTAGTGAGAGTAGTTTGCACAGCTTGGCTCAGACCTCTTATTTAATCTGTTCATTGAAAATCATGTTAGTAGACTAGTTCTTTGTAAAAATAGTAAAAAAGTAAGTGTCATAAACACTAAAATTACTCAACAAATATTCACTGGAGTCCATTTTATACCTCTGCAAAAATACCCAAGGAATTCTAGACTGCCTATTAAAAAAGCAAATAAACCCTCTTAAAAAAATCTGATATTAAGTTTAATCTTGTATCTCTATAGCTGTCAAAGAAACAATGAATTAGCAGATATTTAAATTTTATTATTTCAGTTAGTGTGGTTTTGAAAACTGTTTTTGTAGTTGGCTCTTCCTTTTTAAAACAATAGTCTGTTTCCAAAGTTTGAAAATAAATGTTTTCTTCATGGAGAAAAAAAAATGCTCAACAATAAATCTGCTTAGAAATGATGCCAATTTTCCTTTTAGATCAAGATGAATGTGCTATTTATGGTACATGCAGCCAGACCTGCAGAAATACATATGGATCCTATGCCTGCAGCTGTGTGGAGGGCTACATAATGCAGCCAGACAACAAATCGTGCAGAGCCAAAAGTGGTAAGTTATCAACTTTTTTGTCCTTCCAGAAAGGTAAGTTATTATTGTTTGGTCTTTTCTTATGTCCCTTTTTCAGTTCCTTTTCATTAGAAACGTAGCAGAGCAATATGGGCATTGAAGAAAGAGATTTTTGTTTCATTTAATCCATTGATCCATACTTAGAAACCCAGAGCAGGTATTTTTGTTGTTATTGGTCATTGTATAACTCCTTCCATCATAGAAAGTTTCAGAATAGCAACGATCTGTTTAAAAGAAATTGATTGATGGATTGATTTGAATTACCCATCTCTCTCCTGGACAATGCAATAGATTCCTAACTGGTTTCTGTGAGTTTCTGCTTCCCTGTCACCTAACAGTTAAAGTTATCTGCTAAACTATAAACAAGATCATGTTACTCTCTTCCTTAAAACCTCCCAATAACTTTCACTCAGCTTGAGAATACAATTCAAACCCCTCACAGAGCCTGTAAGGACCTAGGGTCTGGTGCCATTTTTCCCTTTCCAATCTTGTCTTCCACTGCTCTCCTTTCATCACCTGCCAGTCACACTGCTTTCCTGTCCTTCTTCAACTCTATGGCTCTTGCCTTGAGGTCTTTCCGCGTGCTGTTTTATCTGCCTGTAGTGCTTTTCCCCATGATATGCATTTTGTTATATTCAAGCTTTGCTAAAATGTCAACATTCAGAAGCACATTCTCTGACCATTCTTTTTAATGGTCCATACCCTGTCCGTCACCACCTTATTTCCCATTTTTATTTAATTATGCATACTTATATGATTTCCAGTTTTATTTTTTCTATAGCACTACCATTTGAAATGAGCTAATTTATGTATTTGTTTTACATCTGATTTCCCTAGAATAATGTAAGTAACATTAGAGTGCAGAACTTGTCAGTTTTGTTTGCTGTTATTTTCTCAGTTCTGATCATTACCTGGAAAATGCAGGTACTCAATATTTTTGGAAGGAACTAAGGAGGGAGGAGAGGAGGGAAGAAAGGAAGGAGAGGAGGAAGGGAAACCAAGGGAAAGAAAAAAATTAACTTTACTTTCTAATTAAAGTTACAAAAATGAGTGCTCCACACTTAAATGTTTGAATTTGGTGTTTCAAACTCTTTCTTCACCTCTTATCTGCAAATAAAACCTTTAGTTTCTACACAGAGTTCAGCCTACAGTAAACACTGTGAGTATTGTTGATTTGTTAATGAGATTGCTCTGAGATGTACTAGTAACAATAGGATAATGTTAATTTTTTGTGGGTTGAATTAGTTTGGGAATAATATAGGATGCTATTATACATGATATTCCATCTGGCTTCTTCAAACTTCCTCCAAATCTGGTCTGATTTCATGCATTTTCAAATTATGATGTTTTGATAAAATAATGAATGCCTTCCCCCCCCCCTTTATTAGCAATTTGAAAATTGGACATGGGATGAGATTGTGTTTTTCAAAGCCAGATTGAGCAAAGCATTGGGTTTACTCAGTAAGCTGTTACTGCTATCTCCCTTTCCAACATAACCTCATGTTATAATTTCTCTTGATTTCCCTAAGACAATGGTGTTTAAGTATTTACAAAGCGTATTTATATACAAAATTGCAAAGACAGAAGCTATCTTCTTTCTTAGTTTACTTCAATGAATTACTGACTTGGTTTAGGAAGCCCTATTTTTTGGGGGAAGTGTGTGTGTGGGGGGCAATCGTTGAAAAAATTAGGTCAGGTTACGTTTTCCTCTTTTCGCCACCACTGAGAGCTCTGATTTGAAATATTGATGGACTAAGAGAGTAGAAGGCTTGTTCGTTGCTGTTTCTATTGATCCGTACAATATTGCTGTGGATACACAGAAAGAGTGTAATGTAATAAACCCTGTACAGAGAGGCACTTCCTCGCTTTCTACAAGGAGAGGGATTCCAACAACAACAGAATGTAACCAGAGACCAGTGGTCCATGAGAATGTAATGAAACATCAGGGAGAGCTGCTGACTCTAGAACTGATAATGGAATATTTAAACACCTTCATTTCAAAGTGGTTGGCTTGATGACAATATTAGTCTACAGAGTTTGAAAAATACACAGTTTCCATGGGAATGCTTCTGTGGTTTGTAGTTTTATGAAAATGAGTTGCTAGTAATAATGTAAATGAGCACAAATCTATAATATATACTAACAAGTTCTAAAGGTCATATGGATATTTAAACCAGTGTATTTGTACAATTGAAAAAAATATCAGTTATGTTTTAGTTTTCTTTTAATATTTATAACAAGTGAACCAATGACATTTTTGGCTTCAGTGATATGTAAAATTCCATTTAATAACACATCAGATTTAAAATGTTTGTGGCAATTTTATCTTACTGTAATGTTGCTATGATTGACGGCTACTAGGAAAAAATTGTAAATTAAACCACATATGTCTTAAGGCTTTGCCATTTCTCCTTTCTATTACCTGGTTGCTTAGATGGGTCCCTCTTTTTTCTTTCTCTACAATTCTACCCTCTTGGACTGCAGATAACTTGATTTTCCTCCATGTCAAGCCAGGGACCCAGGGCTCTCACAAGCTGGGAGTGTGGTAAGCCAGGGAAGGTTAGGATGTGCTGGCTTATGACCATGGGTGTGTGTAAAAGATCTCTAGGCTTTGGGAAGAAAGTACAATATAAAGATATTAATCCCAAAGGAGGGTTCTGCAAAGGCCTTCCTAGATGATGGAAGAATCAAAGTTCCTGGGAGAAGGAGCCTTTTATGTGAAGGCAGAGAGCAGCAGTCAGTTGGCTGGGAAACTGCTTGTAAAAGTGATGAACTAGTTCACACCCTAATTAGTCACCCTAAAGCTTGTTGTGGGTCCTATTTTCAATATGACAATTAATTGATAATAATTAGGTAAATTAATCTATGTTAATTGATCATCCCTTCTTTTCAATATAATGCCTGAACCCAAATATAATTCATAAGACTTAAGAGTACCTTTAAGAAATAATTCTAATAGAGGTAGGGTCTTTAGGCTCTGTGGTAGGTGGGAGAAGATAGAATGTTAGAGAGGAGACCTTTTCATTCCTGTTAATTCATGCAATGCAGACAAATTATTTTATTTTCTACACTTAGTAATATTGATCTGACTACTGAAATATAGAGCCCATCATTTAAGAGTTAGGAGGAACTTTAAAAGTAAGCAAATCCAACTATCCATTTGATATCAAAATAAGTAATTTTCAAATGAAAGAAAGTCTACAATGACATTTAAAAAATAACTTTAATTTAAATATGCATACTTGATAGTACTTCGTAGAAGGAGACATACTAGAATATGAATGTTACAATAGAGTGTCCACAAATTTGAATGGGGCACACATTAAAAGCTAGAAATTTTTGAATTAAATATTAGGACTTGCCATTAAATAAATCTTTTAAAAATAACTATCAAAACATCTATAGGTATCTAGTAAAACTTCCTGTATATTTTAACTTTTTTTTTTTTGGAGTTCTGATAACTTGTAAAGTCTGAATTTTTTTTAATTTAACTTACTTTCTTTTAACTGATTTAGATTTATTTTGGTGCAGAAATATGTGTTGAATGTAGGCACCCAGGGCTGAAAATGAGTTCATGCCGAACCTGTAGGAGTAAAAATAATAGCCAAGGATGTTTAATCCGTGAACTGTTGGCAGTTTGACTCCTGATAAATTCAGGGTCATTGGACTGTACTTTTCAGTGTCCTAATGACTTGACAAAGTCATGCATTTACCCAGCACGCAATTCTATGGAACCAGTATAGCTTTACTGATTGCACTAAAGCAGTAGCAGAATAAAGAACACTAAATGATTGTATGTCCATCAGTATAGATGCACTTCATTAAATGGTACAGAGTACCCCTTGCCGTGGAGCAACCAGAGCAGTGAGAAGAGAGAGCCCATGAGAGAACTTTGAGATTCTATTCTAGCTAATACTTTGCTATTCACTGATTGGGGGCAGGGTGGGGAGATTTTTACTATTTAGAAAATGGAACCCTTAGTTGTAATAAATGCAAATCATAACCTCTGTGTTATCCACAGAAGCATATTTCTAGGCAGTGTTAGTAAATGTTTTTATACCACTCCCTCTTTTCTTTCCTATAATTCTTAAAAATAAAAACAAACAAACAATAAACAATGAGAGAGAGAGAGAGAGAGAGAGAGAGAAAGAGAAATATAATTCTCTATGTGGTTCCTACTTCTAAACCTTAACTCTATTATTATCTACTAGTAGATAGTTTATTTATTTATTTATTTTTAAATTTCAAAGAATTATCCATGGCTTTCTGCCAGGGGTTTTTCTTGTTATGAGGAAACTAGGCAGTTGCCTATGTAGAGAGGGAAGGGTTTTTTTTTTCTCAGAGTCTCATCAGCATTCAGAATGCTTGGAATTCAGTTATTAAAATATAATTTCCTTTCTTTTCTTTTTCCTTTTTAAAAGAAGCTCCCTATATTAAAAAGTAAGTGTTCTTAGAAGAGTAACTAACTCTTAGTAACCTTGATCACTTCTGACCCTAGTGGAGCAGAACTGTTTTAGTATACCATCTGGCTAAGAATGGCTTCCTGCAGAATGACATATGATTATGTCTTGACACATGAAGATTTATTATTCAGAGTTCTTCTTATTTCTAGACAGTCCAAAGGATCGTTCCTGCACAATTCGTCATTTCATTGAGGTATAACTGTGAGTGACACTTTATGACATGATGGCATATGAGAAGCTCTGAGCTAGACATGAGGCTAGTGGACCAGCCCCAGCATAGTGATCCGGATTTGTTGTTCGTTACTCATCCCCACATGCATGGAAGGAGCCATGTACACACTGTGATGACTGGAAGGTGGAGAGAAGTAGCTGAGTGCCTGGAAAGAGCATGTGCTTGGTAAATATTTGTTGGATGTGATAAACACTGTCCTGAACGTTGAGGAAGTAGAATGAAGGTATTTTGGTGTTAAGGATCAGTAAGAGGAAAGCCAAAGATCTGGAATAGGTTTAAATGACAAT